TATATTTATATTTAAACTGTTATATTTTTATTTTTCAAATAAATGTTGAAGTTACTTTAGAGTTTACTTGGCTCCGACAGAAGTTATCGGTGCATTCAGATGTTTTTGGAACTGACAAGGTTTCTTTTCCCAGAACATGTGACGTTTTTATTTGTCTAGTAGATTTTGCTGCAAGTTATTTATTTAAGCCACTGTGAGAAGCTGAACCATGAGATTCTGCAGTTATCCGGCATAAAGGTTTTGTTTTTGTACCATAAAGCAGCAAATTCAGGCCCAGTTTTGCACTAATAAGAACTTTTTGCATCTTAAAAAGAGACAACAAAAGTATTTTCTTTTGACCAGTGAATACAATGTATGTGAGGATTAGTTTTGCCTCTCTGAAACGTTAATTAAAAAAAGATTCAGGTATGTAATTATTACAGTTTTAGCTTGTGGTTCTGCCTTTTGGCACTTTTACAGGCATTTAGGCAGAAGCAATATGAAAACAACATATATTGCACACAAGATCATGTACTTTATACAAAAACTACACATGCACATAACATTTTAAAATATTGTTTACAGGTTTTATATATAACTTAAAAATTGATCTGTCATATGTTTTTAGTACTTTACTTTATTACTATTCATTAAAAACAACGTAGACTGTGTAAATGTTATTACAAAAGAGCGTATTAACCCAAAATAAGTCCAGGACATAAAAAAAAAACCTCACATCTAGCTTCGCAGGTATTCCATCAACAATCCTACAGGAAAACCAACAAAACTACTTTATGTGTGAAATGATCTATTACCTGAAGCGCACACAGGAGGAGATTTTGTGTTTTTTTATTGCCTTTCTCGTCCTCAGGTACTCCCAGCGCATGGACGAGTACCCTCTGTTCAGCCGCCGGCCCAGCGGTGACACCCTTGCCCTGGCCATGTGTGACCCTGGCCTGAGGCGCAGGCACAGCAGCGAGTGTGAGGAGGACAGCCTGCCTGAGATCTACGTGGACAGTGGCCTGTCGACGCTCAGAGGCTCACATGGAGGCTATGACTCAGAGCATGAGGTCAAAGGTCAAGAAGAAGAGGACAAGAATCACAGTCCGGAGAAGAAAAAGGAGGACGACGATAACAACGACAGTGTAATCGGAGAACTCTCTGACACTGAGGTAAGACTATAATCATGTCTAGCTTATAGCTACATATTTGTTTTACCAAGTCTAAGACTTAATAACATAATAACTAACAGACACAACAGATGTAATAACTTGAAGAAGAAAGGAAGTGGGCTTATTCAAGTCTGTGGAGACGTTTCACCTCCAATCTAAGAGGTTTCTTCAGGTATAAAAGCAAAAGATGGAGAGTCCCAGGTATTTAACCCTTAGTGGGGTTGGTCCCCTTTGGAGGTGGTTCTTGGTCTGCTATTGATCGCATGCGTCATCACATGAGCCATGCTGTGAAAAAAGGCGTTACCATCACCGGGGGTTAAGGGTGAAGCCACTGTGAGGCCTCGCCCGACCCTATCATGTGACCTATTGAGGTCACCTACAACAACAGTGGAAAGACTTGAATGGGCGTTGAAGTGTCTGGAAACCGTTGCCAACCTTTGTTGCACACATAGTGTTCATGGCGATGGCCTCTTTTGCTCCTCCTTTAAACCATCTGTCTTCCCTCCAAAGAGCTTCCTTTTACCTTTTAGTGTAGATCTACACCTGAGTCTGTTCCTGTTGAGGTGCCTCTTCAATGTTGTGTCATGCATTTGTGGAGTGGCTGTTGGGTTTCTGCTGCATAGATTTCCAAGTACTCCTGCACTTTGATGTTTAGCTTGTGTTTGGGAGTTTTGATCTTGGGATGGACCCGTTTTTGCACCGTCACGCTTGAATAAGTTTCTCTGACTAACCTGTTTGAAAAGGGATGACCAAGTTGTTCCATAGGGCTGTTACCTATGATACCTATGCATACACCATTTTAATTCCCTCTTTTTCAAGCTCTTGAGACCACCATGACCTGGATGACTGAGAACCTACATAATAATTAATGATTAAATACAAACTGGTGTTTAAACACATAGAGAGTGAAAATAGCTAACTCCAGGGGGAAAAAGCATATTCTTGCCTTGAATGCTTAACTATCTGCTACTTTGTGTCTACATCACAGCCAGCAGAGACACAGGATGGGGAATCAGCATTTGGATCAGACAGCAGCTCAGTTTTGGACTGGAAGCCATCTGAACCACCAGCTCCAACAACGAGAAAGGCCCTCAGTGCCATCAATGTTCAGGTGAGAGAGAAAATTATGAGAGGAGTCATAAAAGAGGGTTCTTTTATTTTGTAAGAAAGGTCAGAAAAACAGGATTATTGGGGTTATTGTTGAAATTTAAGTTACAGTCAGATTTCTGGAAAAAAATTTGTAATTATTTAGAGACCTTACCAGACTTTGTGACCCTTCGTCTCTTCCTAACATTTTGACACTGTAGAAAAAAAAATGTATGAGAAGGTACATTTCGCTCTGTAGTAGCTATGGCTGTGGACTTATTATGTGTAAATCGTCGCTAGTAAGAGTTGAGGAAACTGCAAAATGATCATTGCTGATGATAAAGTGAATTCAACTTGAAGCAAATGTGCAGAAAAGTTTCCTGGAGAACACTACCTTCCTGTCACCACTACAGAAGGAGGACAAGGACAGCACTGACCTGGGCTACATGACGTCCGAGAAGGCTTACAGGATCGTGTTAGCTGGGGACGCTGCTGTGGGGAAATCCAGCTTCCTGCTTCGCCTCTGCAAGAATGAATTCAAAATGAACTCTAGTGCAACTCTGGGTGAGCTGGACACAAACTAAGAGCAAGCATTTTAATGTCATGTCCTCTTCTCTACAAGAAGCCTTGTAAATAAAAGCTTGGAGGAAGTTTTAGCTGACTAGTTAATGCTTAATTTTTGTAGACTGTGAAGTAAGATCATTAAAATAGTATAATGTAGTTATTCTGATCAGCTATTAAACACTTTCACTTGCTTCCTTCTTGACTGGCTCTTCTTTGTGTTTTCAGGAGTGGATTTCCAGATGAAAACACTAATCGTGGACGGAGAGCCCGTGCTGCTTCAGCTCTGGGATACGGCGGGGCAGGAGAGGTATGTGTTGGTGTGGATAGTACGTGTTGCTATTTCTTGACAATAAATAGCACTTCATTAGTGGAGTACATGAGGTTTGTAACTGTCTAGTTTGAGCCATCTCCTGTGCTATTTTCAGGTTTCGCAGTATTGCGAAGTCTTACTTCCGCCGGGCAGACGGTGTTTTGTTGCTGTACGACGTCACCTGCGAGAAGAGCTTCCTCAATATTAGAGAGTGGGTGGATATGATTGAGGTAAAGCAATACCGTCCACAGCTATACGGTTACCACCTGACACACTTAGAAGTGAGATGTCCAGAACATCAGAACATCAGAAACATGTATAATATAGTCATATGGTTAAGTGTGTCCACTTGCTGGCAGCATTTGTGTTATCAAAACATATTTAAAGGTCACACTGATGATTCTGCTTGTTTTTCTTCATTTACATGCAGCCAATATGTAAGTGTTGGATAAGCATGCATTCAATATGATCTGGTGTTCTGTGTGTGTGTGTGTTGTATATTCGGCCAGTGGTGTTCAGAAGTTTGTGCTCAGTGTAAAACAAGTTCAGCACACCTTCCGTAACCTGTCACAAGAGATTTCAATATGATTATTATTATTGTTCATTGTTTTTCTTGGCAGGATGTGTCCCACGAGAACATTCCCATCATGCTTGTGGGTAATAAGTCTGATCTTAGACAAGATGGAATTGGCTGCGTTCCTGCCAGCTACGGGGAGAAACTTGCCATGGTAATTACAAATAAAAAAACCTTTATTTTACCAAACATTTACATTTACAGTTACCTGTTACACATCCAACTTAGAGAGAAATTATTTAAACTGTAACCTGTAATTCGAGGAATGAATGGCAGTAAATAAAAATATTAAAACATTAAATGTTTTCTGTCTCTGACCAACAGACATACAACACTCTGTTCTGTGAAACTAGCGCCAAAGATGGATCCAACATCCTGGAGGCCGTGCTGCACCTGGCCAGGTGAGATTCACATACCTGATTATTCCAAAACAAAACAAAGCCGTGGGACTTCATGAATTAGACATTAAGAAGCTAACATTTTGTCATTAGTTTAGTGGGTGTTTCACTTCGTTATTGGAGGATGGATGTTGTATATGCAGCTTATATCGCATCACTAACTAAGCATTGCCAGTGTTGATCAGTAACACATTAAGAACAACAAGTTTAAACGTCCACCAAGGGATACGTCATTGTATGATAATCATAAATACTGCTTGATCTTTTGTTTTACAAGTGAAACGCTTTCTGGCATTTAAAAGTAAAACTTTCTTTTTCTTTTTTCTTCCACATTCCCATCTTTCACCTGTTTACCCGTCTTACCTGTGTTTTTTTTCCACTCCACAGACAGGTAACAAAGTTCGCCAACTATGAAGAAAAAAGCAGTCGTCAGTCGCTGCCGATTTTAGACGCTCCCAGAAATCAGCCAAAATTCTCCTGCTGCACCTGATCAAACTCGTCCACACTGGACTTAATGTGGACTGTGCACATGCGAAAAGACACGAAAAGCAGAGCAGGAACAAATGATCAATGTGAATAACCGCAGCTGGATTAAGAGGGTGAAGTAAAGAAGTGGAGAGACGGGACATTACAAACATTTATTTGCTAAATCTTTTAACCGCTGGCTCTTGGCTTAAACCTCTCGCTATGTCAAAGGTTTTTTTTCATTATGTTATAACAAATTTGCCTTTTTCTGTTTGGTGTCATTTACACTGTTTGACTAATTGCACGTTAAAGCAGGTGACACAGGAGAAGCGAAAGGTAGCTGTGAGAGTAAAGTAGACTTTTAGTGT